GCGATCATGGGCTCTTCTTCTAGAAATCTCTATGCAGGAATTGGAGAAGGTCAATCAACCTCTAGGCCACCACTCTTTGATGGCACCAACTACTCTTATTGGAAGGAACGGATGAGAATCTATATTCGTTCCACCAACTTCCAATTGTGGTTGGTGATCAAAAATGGCAAAGAAATCCCTATGAAGAAAGTGGGAGAAACCACGGTCCCAAAGACCGAAGACGAATTTGATGCCGAGGACATCAAGAAGATCGAAAACTATGCAAAGGCCATCAATATGCTATATTGCACGGTCAACACCGATGACTACCGAAAGATCTCCTGTTGCACAACCGCCAAGGAGATGTGGGACAAGCTTGAAGTGACGTACGAAGGTACCGATCAAGTTCGCGAAGCCAAGATCGACTTTCTCACCCAAGAGTACGAAATGTTCCGGATGAAAGAAGGTGAGAAATTTGATGACATGTTCGACCGGTACGGTTCTCAAAGATCATCAACGATCTTCATGCTCTCAAAAAGACCTACACCAACAAGGATCTTGTGAGGAAAATCCTGCGGCGTCTCACACCCGAATGGAGGTCAAAAGCCGATGCAATCTACGAATCCATCGGAGTCTCCAACGTCACCATCGACGGGCTAAGAGGTAATCTTAAAACCTATGAATCTACTATTCTAACCCCGTCTTTGGATGAACAAAAGAAAAAGGGGATAGCTCTCAAAGCCACCAAGGAACCAGTGGAAGAGGCTTCAAGCGATGACGACAATGAATTCGGGCTCGTCATCAAAAAGTTCCACAAGTTCATGAAGAAGGAATTTGAGCGAAAGGGAAGGAAGCACGACGGTCCTCCCAAATGCTACGGCTGTGGCGAGATTGGCCACATCAAGCCAAGGTGTCCAAAGGCCAAACATGGCAAGGACAAGCCTGGCTTCAAGAAGCAAAGGGCCTACATCTCTTGGGGTGGCGATTCCGGAGACGAATCAACCGACCAAGAGGAGGATGAAGCTGCAAATCTCTGCCTCATGGCACACGAAGATCAAAGCGACGACGTCCAAGAGGTATGTAACATTTCTTCCGACTCTTATACCTTTGAAGAAATGCAAGAAGCACTTCATGAACTCTATGAGGAATTTGTTAGCGCTTCTAAAACAAATAAATCTTTGAAGAAACGACTTTCTTTACTTGAAAACGATTTTG